TGCAGAAGGAGACGAGGAGGAGGAACAGCGGTCGTCGCAACGAGGGAGGAAGGAGATAACTTAACTTCCCCAGTCACGCAGCGCAGCGAACCATCAATCGTGTGAAGTCGAAATGAACAGCCCGTCCGCGGTACCGGCGGCATGTCATCAGGTTTCGGAACTCAGAGAGATGTCGAGTTACGGCCGTCCCGGATACATAGAAGCAACCAGTAGTGGGAATTCAAAAAAAATCCCTTGCCAAGATCCTGCTCTAATCCTCGCGACCCCTACTCTGCCAACCCGTAATTTGGGTACCTGCTAATGGACACAGTCCCTCTACTGTATGACCCTTGCAAGAGGCCAATCAAAACTCGACCCCTYACTTTGTAGCCTCTTCATAACCTCTTCATAGGTCCAGACAGAACAAAGCCTTCTCGGGTACTAGCTTTAAGGTCCTAAATAAGCATGGTCTGGCAGACCCGAATAACAATACTTCTGTTTTTTATTTTTCTTTTTATTCTTCCAGTTTCCCTTGTCTATTCCGCGGAAGTTGCAATTCGTTTTTCACTACGGTAGAGGCAAAAAGTAAGTCCATGTGATAGTCATGTTGGTTGGGACTCGGTCACGACCTACGTGGGACCGTTAGGGACCCAGTGGGATCGGGCCCAAGCAAGAAGGGACCCTTGGATCCAAATCTGTTAGACATTTGTTCATTCTTTTTCTGACAGAGATCTAGAGTTTTATTCTTCTGGTTAGGACACCCATTGTCGAAGTGATGAGGCGCTTCACATGCTTTGACTGCACAATTCGTGGCTTGACTCGCACCATGTACACCACTCAATTCTGCATTGTTGTATATGGTCACTCATTGTCTGATTTGGGGTACATTCACGAAACTGACTGATTGGACTCGAGAGGATCTCGTATTCAGACTTATCAGACTGAGTCGCTGGATCAGACCTCTGATGTGAATTAATTAGTTATTTATTTTTTTGATCTTTAGTCCAAATGTAATGCCACTCAGGCTAAGAGTTCTACCTTCTTTTTCCTTGAGCTTTTCGATTTGTTTTCCCTTAGTTCATTTTAAATGTCAGTGGAGACCCGTAACCAAAGGGAAGAGAGAGAGAAGAGAGAGAGAAAAGGAAGAGTGGGAAAGAGACTGTCTAGAGTGGATAAGGACTGCAAAATGGAGCGTTCGTCCAAGCGAAAAGGGAGTGAACTCTTTGAGAGTCTGATTGATTCCCTTGTTGGTTGGCACCTCTTCAACCCATCTGTCGAAGTATCTACAGACACTTTATGAGGGGTGGTCTTAAATGGGAAAGAAGATGGAGGAAGAGAGGAAGGAGTTGTTTTTTAAAATTCAGTTGTAGAAATTGTTCCCTCACCGAGCACAGAACGATGTGGGGAACAATTGTAGCCTATCCTCAACGCTATCATTCATACACCTCAGTCCTCTGAAGTATTTGCAAAATTGCGGAAACTTCGGGAGGATCAGACCGATATAATTGGCAAGTGTCGTGACTTGACGATTGAGGTTGTTGTGCTGCGACAAACCCAAAATGGCCAATCCTCTTCTTGTACCCCCTGGTTCCGGAGCTGCTATTGAAACTAGTCCTGCCATTCTTACTGCATCTTCTTCTTCTTCATCTTTGAGTGTGATGGCAAGCCTATCGGGACCTGCAGAAGGTGCAAATTTCGTTGTTGCTAAAGCAAGCGATAATGTGGGAAATTATGCAACTGCAGATCATAACCAAAAGGCACTGGTCCCAGCTATGGTGATTCCTATGTGGATCGAAAGGCCGTAAAGAAACCGTCCGAGTACGACGGCAAGGAAGAAACTGAATCTTGGATCAGCTCCATGAAAGCTTATTTTGAGGTTCTAGGAACTCGGACATAGACCCAGTTCGTGATCATGGTAATGAATGTCGGGCCATTGTACGGGGCTTCTTAGAAGTCTAATCTACGCGAGCTAGGGCCCCAAAGATAGATTTGAAATGGTGGTTTAAAGCCACTTCGGTTGCCACCCTTGAAGAACTCTTAATTAAACAATGCATGGATCCACATGCCGCTGCAAGGGCAAGGAGTCAATTTAACAACATCAAACGCAGCAAGTGGTCGAGACCATGAAAACCCTTCAAGCCTACCTTAGCAAGATGTTTGTTACTCCTGGATTAGAAATGACCGAACAATCTTGTTTGGATGTAGTAAAAGACGTGGTTCCCACTACCTTTACAAATCGCTTAGGCAGGGACTTCATTGGATACACTGACTGATTTTCCTTAATGAACGATGTTGTTAGTCTCGAAGTAGTAGACCTCATTTTCATAGCAGGTGGCAAAAAGCCTAAAGGCGGCAGGTGGTTTCGAGGAAACAACCGTTTTGTTGTGCATGACCTATTGGAGGCGGATGAGGAGGCCTATGCAGATGACCCCAGTCTTCGTGACGACCAAGAGCAGGACCCTGAAAGAGCCAGTTCCTCTTCAACCGATGAATTTGACGCAAACCACGATGAGGAAAAATTTACTGCCTTTAAAAAGACTGCCAACGGAAAGTGACCCGAACAACATGCTATCGCCAATTTCTGTATGATTCGGAATGTCGTTCAACATCGAAAGTGTCGAGTGTATGGTCGCGATTATGGCAACCAAGTTGAATCAAATGACCTAAAAATGAAAAATAAAAATGAAAAATAAAAGAATAATGTAATTTGAGTTAATCATTTTGTAGATTCATGGGTTGCA